TTTAAACTGATCTAATCTGATTTGAAACCATAATAGTTTGATTCAATCCAATTCAAATCTGAATTTGATCCAATTTGATCTGATCTGAATCTGAATCTGAATTCGATTCGATACAAAAACTATTTAAAACCAATTTGATGCATTTTGAATCTATTTTAAAGCATGTTCAACTATAACTGCTTTGATTTAACTAAATTAATTTAAATATGTTTAAATTAATCTGACTTTATTTAATAAAAAGTTTTTAACTAGTATATTTTCTTTCTGGAATATTTTTTAACTTAAAATTTTAAAATTTTTCTTTTATTAAATTTAAATAAATTTATTTATACAATCCATGATCGTTTGCTTGCTTCTATATTAATATACTCCTCTCTATAGCTAGTACTCTCTAAATAATTTGATTTTCTATATTGTTTATTTCTTTATTTTTTATTATCAATATTTCAAGAGTTTGCAAAGCATATTAATCAATCAATAATTGATTATGTCAGTAATTCATATGATATGCTTCTTTTTTACCTTCTTTCCATTTTTTTATAGTTGATACTATTTTTTTGGTCAAATTTTAGGACAACCCACAAGTTATACCTTCCATTGGTAATACTATAGTACTATGCAATTTATTCTCTGGCTAGCAATAAAGAGTATTTCCTAGTAAAAATTATAGCAATTTTAACTTGTTATTAACTTAAATTCTAAAAATTTATAATGTTTAAAAAATACCTACCATTTCAACTTTAATTTCCCATTTAATCATGTAAAAGTTGCCTTCCTTAAAATTCCTTTCACTACAAGCAAACTCTTTATCATTAATAGGTTATATTTCTCTTAGACAAGTAACTGCAATTGCATAGTCCAAAAAATTAAGGTCAATGTAGGCAAATTTGCTATACTGTATCTCCAGGCTATATAGGCCTCACATAGATCTAAAGGATAGTTTAAATATATTTTTTTATTATCGAAAAAAACTATAATTCCTTTGTCACTAGCACCATATTTGTTGCATCTAGCTGGGGTAGATCATATTCTTCTATTTTTTTTTATATACTTGAGGTCACATCTTCAGGAAATATATACATTGCATAGTTGAAAAGAAAACTGTTTATTATTATAACTTTCTCTTCTTGCAAATATTGCTTTTTGAACTCTTATAATTCAATAGGTATATTATGCACATAAGTAAATATTTCACTTTCTCTTGTCGAAAGATACCTGCAAACATTAATATTAATAAAGTTTTAAAAATTAAAAACTTAAGTTTAGTTAAATATATATCCTGCAACTATTAAGACACCTTGATTCAATTCTTTGATTTCTGACAATCAGACAACTTGTCTATGCAAAATAAACATATTGATAATCATGCTTCTCATGAGTTCAAGTATATCAGAACCAATATAATTTCAGTATACAACCAGTATCACCTTGTTAAAGGTTCTATCATGAACTATTACTTCTTCATTTTTTTTATTATCATTGGAAGATAGGAGGCAGTATTGATCGCAGATATATAGGAAGGCAAGGGGTTTGTTTTTTCAAATATCCACTTTTCTTTTATTTTTTTTTCATCGTAACTAGAGAAGGGATCAAAATATATCATTTTTACTATATGTATCTCTTCAAGATACTTTTGAGTCAATAAATTTTTCCTGACCTATAATTTAGTTAAATTAATACAGTTACAAAAAAATTGCAAAAATTTTAACTTACAAAATTTTTATAGATCTTTTTTTTGGATTTTTTTTTGCATTATCAATATTGGCTCTCAAAGTAGCAGCAGCATTTTTCAAATCATTATTACAAGTAATCAAGAATCTCAAAAAATCCCTTCACCAGTTGATTTGATATTGTTTTATTGTTAATAAGCTTGAAAATATATACAAGTATTTTTTATTATATTTATATATTGATAAGTATTAATGTTAGGATCAGAAATAGCCAAGTGAATATTTAGCAAGTGATATATCAGTTCACTTAAAAATGCAGCATATTTTATTGGGTCATTGTATTTTTGTGATATAAGAAAATAGAGAGCAACAACAAAGGTTTCTAAATTGAGATAGCTTAATATATATAGTATCCTGCTAATGCAAAACAAAAATCGATAGCCAAAAATAGCCTGTTGTCGATAAAATTCCATATATTGACCCAGGATTTTCCATTGGTAACAAATGATATTGACTGATACCCGTAAGCAGTGTTCAACAACAAGCTTGCCTGCACTAGTCCAAGATTTCACTCTGGAGGCACAAGACATCCTTGCTATATAATTTCTGCCTCAATATTGATACAGTAAAGGTTACTAGTCCAGGGTTTCCCACTGAAAACAACATTCTTGCTACATCAACACTTGCAAGTATTATCTTGTATCGATATGGGCCTGCCTGCACTAGTCCAGGGTTATTCATTGGAGATACATAGCATGCTTAATCGATACAATGCATAAAGGGTATGTCGATTTAAAAATTTTCCCACTTCCCCTTTGCAGAAAAGAATCAATGGTTTTTTATAGCTTTATAACTTTTGTTGGCTCAGTTCATACTAGATGAATAGTATTACAATCAATACTAGTAGCAATAAACTAACATCAGGATATTACAGCATCAATAAATGTTGCTTACTTGTTTATAGTATTAACCAAAGACTTGTTATCAATTATAGCTAAGGTCGAAAAACTGGGAAACAAAAACAGAGGTTACAATTACCGTAAACCACTGCATACAATATCCCAGGTATTAATCAATTTATCCCATGATAAATTGATTAGTACCCGGGGATATTCTACTAGAAGGGGGGTAGTATAAATGGTGGAATATTTAGTGTTTTATTATCATCTGACGTCTCTCTTACTTGCCTATTTATATTGCAATTTTATTGACTCTAACTTAATATACCCAGGTAGTAATCATTTATTGAGTACCAATTTTCTTGAATACTATCAAATATTATTTAAAGGGAGTATTACTTTAGGAAGGGTATTGTATGCAGTGGCCTACGGTAATACTAACAGTAATAGAATAATAGCAGTAGTATATATAGTTTGATAAAACATTGCTTATATATGGCTATAGAATATAAAACTTGTGGTTGACTATAAATCGATAGTCAAAAGGCTGGGAATCGACAAAGTTAAAGCTGGTTGCTAAATGATTGATAAAATATAAAATAAAAAAAAAACAAGTATATATGTCAAGCAAAAGCTATAACAAGTCAGTAAAAATATAGGGGCAGCTAGTGTGTTGCTTATACTGGTTGGCAGAAGGAACTGTTTAGCAGCAATGATAAAATTGATCACAATAAATTGATCACAATTTTTTTTGGCTAATCTATAGATTACGGGGTACTATTATCACCGTGACATCTCAGAGGGAAATGTGATTATCTCGAAAAATCATAATTCCGGCTGAAATTATAAATATTAGTTCTACCGGAACTACAATTAATGTCAACCAGAGTTAAAACTAATGTCATCCGGAATTACGAATTTAATGTCAGCCGGAATTATAAATTTTACTGAAATTATAAATCTAATTTTGACCGGAATTACAACTTATAATAAAAGTTTGGCAAACTCGCAAATTTAACATAAAGATTATTATATGGTTAAAAGTTTGGCAAACTTTGTTCACCCCTAGTGCCCCTCAAGGGGCAACCACATCGTTGATGTGGGACAGATTTGTTTGAAGTTCCTTTGTCACTTCAAACCCACTTTCGTTAAATCCTATCCTCTCAAACACTTGGCAAGATCATGTGCTTATACATTTTTATATTTCGAAAAATGAGACATGTTAAAATGACTTTATTTTAATAAACATAAATTATTATAATTAAAATTATACTAATACATTTATTGAAATCGATAATTCATATATTCATCTTTTGTAATTGCAATACAAAAATCTCCAACTCTAAACCATTGTTCCTTTTCGATTTGCCATCTTCTATACCTTTCTTCAAAGTCTTCAAGACTTTCATCTTCTTCGATACCCCACCCATCTGCAAATCGCCGTTCAGGTTCAGGAGGTTCTGATCCACATTCAATAATTATAGTTTGCATTTTATCAAATCGTGTTGGTTTAACTTTTATATCTTTATTTACTGTCTCTCTATTTTGAACAGTGACCGACATTACATGTTGAACTGTAGGTAAGATTCCTAAGGCTTCAGCAATATCTTGATAATATTCTTCTTATCAGAGATTATTTTTTTTTCAAAATATTTTTGTTTATTATTTTTGAAAAAATTTTTGTAAATAATTTCTTGAAAGTGAATGTAAACATAACCTTTATATAATAAATAGAAAATTACAAATTTCTATATTTGAATAAATTGTTGTTTATTATTGATTCAAAAATAAGAATATTTTTAATTATGGATTTACGATAATAGAAACTATATACCTCAACTTATTACTAAATCCATCTATAATTTTTAAATAATGACCATAAAGCACTAATCTTATTTACATTAATATTATAAACCTCCTGTGCACGAGTTTTAATAAAATTGCCATTATAATCTCTTGCAGCATTAATGATACGATAAAGACAACCTAAATAAATTTCTGGGCTTATACATAAAATATTACATATCTCTTTTTCACAAATATGAAGATCATTATAAAAAGGATAGCTCGAATAATCCCTCATTTTACCTAATCGCCAAGTTACATTTACCTTTGGCATAATAATTTTTGAATAATCCAAATTTAAAGATTTAACCAATGAAATTAAATCAGATTGAGAATCGGATAATAATTCATTTGATAAATTATTTGATTCAGTATAATTCTCAAGAATAACTTGTTTCAAAAGTTGAGAATTTTTCATATAATTATCATAGATAGAAAATCTCATAATAACACCGGTACCATCATTTCTTGTGATATATGTGCATGTTGATTTACGTTTAGAATGATAATTTATCATGTTTACCAAAAAAATATATATCATTGTTGTATTTATATCAATTCAACTGTACTATTTATAGAAATAAATTCAGATAACCCTAAAAGGCTATCGATAATAAATTGATTGTCGATACAATAATTTTAATTAATTATGTAATTAATGTAATATAAATTGAATAACCATATATGGATAACCTTAAAGATTATAATAATAACCAGTGGTACATAATGAATCAAGAAATCCCTTCCACAAATTATCTTCATTTCTACGTCGCCAAATAAACTCTAATAGATGATCATCAATAAGACCTTTGTTACGATTTCTAGGTTAAACCTTCAATTTGATACCACCCCAAGTACCTTCGATAGTATTTATATGTGCTTCCGTCTCAAGATCCACAAAATATTCATTATGATTTACAGTCATGTGAGTAACCCCCAATTCTTCAAGATCCTTATATCCTCTCCAACAATCAGTTATTATTATAGATCCTGGTTTAACACATTTCACAATAATATCTCTAATAGTATCGGCATCTCTTTTTTCCACGACTCTCAAAAACATCTTTCTCTTATCATTACGTTTAATACCCCCAATTACCCATACACCATCAACCAACCAATCTTTATGATACTTTCTAATACCAAATTTTGATTCATCTATCTTTATAATCACATCTTTACTACCAATAGTACTCTCCTCATCTTCAAGTGTACTAACCACCAATTCGCGAAACAATTGCATATATCTTGTGATTGTATTTGGAGAATGACCAGTAATCTTCAAAATAACTGTATGATCGGCTCCACATAATCAATAATAACCAATAAGCATTACATTTGAACAACTAATACGACCACCCGAAAAGAATGAGTCTTTGTATATTGATACAGATCCACGACACTCATAATCATTACATCTAAACTGTTTTCTATCTAAATGAACTGCAGAATCATATTTCAAACAAGATTGAACCTTGTATAAAATATTTTCTTTGAATAAAAATTCAATACATTTATTTTCGTCATATAAAATTTCTGATATGGTTGTTAAGATTGGGATTGACATTTTTTAAATATCGAAAAAATACATGGTTACATCCCTTACATTTATAGATCTTTTCTTAGATCACGTGTATCAATCATGGTTCTATAACCACATGAACGTCGATACTTTGTATAATAATTCGGAACTTTTGCCTCACAATGAAGCATTATAATTACAAAAATTACAAAAATAATAATTGATCGCATTTTTTTATTGAGAGAAGAAAATAAAACATGTCTATTTATATAGGAATGAGAACCCCATTTAACAATTGTTAGATTATATGTATCAATCTTGATACCCTAGCCACTGAAACAAAAACTATGATAAAAATTGAAAAATTTTCAGAGATAATCCTTTTGTTATCATCAGGTATATGTTCAATGAATCGATCGGAATACATATCAATCAAATCGCTAACTTCGATAACCATTTTTTCGATTTTCTCATCCGTTGGTTTATTTCTAAATCTATTAAATACCATAAAATTGCTAAATAATACATCGATACCAAGATTTTTTCCCACGTCTTTCTTGAATTGAAGAGGATTTGTTTCAAAATGTCATACAATATGATCTACTATATCTTTAGGTAAAAAATCTTTTTCACAAGGTACGCAACTAATATAACTAACTTCCGATTTACTCTCAAACTTGAACTCATTTGTATCTTCTACAGATGCAGGTAATAATGGTAATAAATCTTTGTTTAAACTCTCTTCATTATTATCATTATCATTATTGTGATCATTGTAACTATTATCATAATCATTATCACCATTTTCAATATTAATAGCATGATCACTATTATTATTATTGTTGTCATCTCCATTATTCCTGTTCAGATCTTGGTCTACACGAAAACGTCTGTTAAAAAATTAATTAATAAATTCAAAAAAATATATATATATCATTAATTCTCACTTTTTATTTTCAGTAGTATCATCATCACCATCATCATAATTATCTCTGTTTCTTTTGAGTGAATCAATTTCATCTCTTACACTTTTAACCATCGAATACATAGCATTTATTGTGGATGCTATAGCTTGAGGATTTGTACTGTTTAAATCAATATATCTAGTCGCAGTGATAGTCTCCAATATTACGCCGGGTAGACCTCTCAAGTAACTATTAGTATCACATTCATAACCAATAGAATGCCTTTGAATTTCATCTGAATAATTTTTGTATCTCAAAATTCTATATGTTTCATCGAGATTATTAACTTGAATATAATAATAAAATCCAGTATTAAATCTAATATATCGATTTCCTTGAGCCGTACTGATTCGAGTTACACACCATTCTTTATCAATATTCCACAAATCACAGATATATATCTCCTGATCGCAATCCATACACGGAATCTTATGGATCTTATCATATACCACAAAATAATTTTTTCTTATAGGACTATATACTAAATTATTCAAATCTTCAAATACTGTATCAGCAACCAGTCGTCTATTCTCCTCTACATTAGAAGTTGGAAGCTCGCAGGTCATAGATACATTAACTATCAGAGTTCTAACATGGAAGGTTGTCTTGATTGGATTAATTTTTATCTTATCATTCTTCTCCCCACCCTGATCGACTAACAAAGGAAGTGCAATCCGACTTGAACCAGTCTCATTTCTATTTCCATATACCCTAATTCTTCAAAAAGAATAAAAATCTAACATGAACTTATTACATATATTATTGTTTACTGGTATATCTTGAAATAACATATTTGAGATATAATATATTGAAGGCCAATATAGAAATGTTGATTTCTTTTCAGCGCTAAGTGGCATATTATTAATATCTCGTTGATCGAACACCTTTTGAATCACTGAATTATATTTTCTTTGACTTTCTGATTTTGGTCTCACCCCACAATGTTTCTCTAATTTAGATAACTCTGGAAAAATTGATGGACAAAAGCTAGGTTGAGGTTGACGAGCCATTGTTCACAGTATGTGTATTTGTATTCGTTGGTCAGAAACAACAAGAACAATTCGAAAGACAAGAACCCTCTTTTCCAGGAAAACAACAAATACAGCTATGATTACACTTAATTTCAACCCTAGCAATAGT